AAGACAGGCTTTTAAAAAATCTTTCAACAGTTCAATGTCTGGAATGCCACCAACAATGTCAGTGTGGATGTCAAGCAGATGTTGGAGCGTCTTGAAAACGATCAGCAATTGCTCAAACCGGATCAAACCGCCGCAATGCTGCTCAGCATCTTGGAGAAAGATGCGTTGGAGTCTGGCGCTCATCTCAGTTATAGCGATGATTTGGCGAAGACAGTCGATGATTTTGATAAGAAATAAGTAATTTGAACTCTGAGTATTACATTTCAAAGGGCTTTAATTTCAGAACACCGGCATACCTAAGTATATTACTGGGAAAATAGTAAATCTATTCTAACTTGTTAAATGATAATGTTTGACGATTGTACCATGTGAATGAAGTTTTCGAATAAAAACAAATGCAAGGATTGTAATGGACTTGATTAAAGTCTTATCTTATTTATTGTTGATTTTGATTTCCTTTACCCTGCTTGATTTGGTCTCTTGCAAAATGTACAACGGAAAGATAGATATTCAGCCCGGTGATGTAACTTCATATAATGATTTTAAAAATCGTTGTTTTTAAAGGGAGATGTGCAGTAGGTCATAATTTGGTGGAGCCATTAATGGGTACAAGTCTCGCACACATTTAACCCGTGGTCCCATCAAGGAATACTCGTACCCCCTTTAGTTCTATAAGGTCTGTTCGTCATAAAACTGAAGGCTACTCCGAGTAATTGACACAGGGGCGGCGGAGTGTGTTTCAAAGTGGGGGGGGGGGGATGCACCAACAAAAAAGGGGCACTTTCTGGGGAAAAAAGGCCAGGGAGACCTCAAAGCGAAAACATACAATAAAGATTGATTATGTACACGGTCTTGTTTTTGGTTTTTGTTTTGTTTTTGTCCCCCCCCCCCCCTCTATTTAGGCTTTTTTTTTTTTTTTTTAATCACCCTCTCAAACAACAATATAATACTGTATAATACTTTATTACTGTTTGGGTGGCAGCACCAATAAAGCCTTTGACTTTCCTAGCTGTCTCCACATTCATATTTATTTTTGTTGTTGTATTGTATCGTAAATGTATTTCTTTAACTTGTACGCTATGTTTTGTATTTTATATGTTTGTTATGATGTTTTTATGATGAATGAAATAAAGTTCAATTCAATTCAATTCAATACAATGGTAGGCCCTTATGTACCCATACATTCTGATTAAATTATTAGGGATGCTTTCATCATTTCTCTTTTTACATGGTTTACAAGATACTGGTTAGGCATCATACTTTGCAGTCGGGTGTGATGGTTTAAACATGTATTTGCGAGCGAGCACAGTTTATACGATTTATGAGGTCGCAGTGCGAACAATTACATCTTATAAAGAGGGGGGAATCCTATTATGGTGGTCTGAAAAGATCTTTAATAAGAAACAAAATTATAGTAACATGAAATGCGAGCGAGCGTAGCGAGCAACCTTTGGATTAAATTGAAGTAAACGCTGCTTTTAGTCGCTTAAAATTAGGAGCACATGTATAAAAGATTTATTTAAAATATGATTTAAAAACAAACAAATTAGGAGCACATGTTATGGTGAAAGGAAAGGAGAATTATCAGAGGTGAAATGGGGCACTTTAAGATATGTCTTATATGCTGATGAACACGGCCAATGATTAGAGGAGTGTCTGGGAGGAGTCGTACCATCTACTAATCAGGTTCGTTCACTCTTCTCTTCTCTCCTGTTTTGCCATTCGATAGAGGTTGGACGAGCCTCCGCTACCCCACCTCCTCCCGGAGCTACACTATTGATCACAAGTGACCCTAGTAGCATACTTAGATAGATTGTCATGTTATTATTAACATAATTTCATCTCTCATGGAGCCTCCCTTTTCCCTCTCAAAGTTAAAGAGTCTACATCGGAGAATGGGGTAAATGTGTTGAAATTATTACTAGAAATGTACATTTTTGGGGCACGCCCCAGACAAACCTGTACCACTGAACCAACTCACATCCCATATATTCATTTCGTATTCCTTATTTTTCTATATTTGTTTCCATTTTCTCATGTTTAAGGGGTCATTATCTATATCCATAGTTTAAAATAATTATAAGTCTCCCTCGGTAGAGACATCCTCTTATACTGTACAGTTGACGTGGAAGGTTGGTGCAATGTTTTTAGTTGCATCTCTCCACTCCCATAATCTTTTTGGTCTCGCCTTGCCACAAATTGATTTAATAGATCATCGCAACTCTAAACCAGTCTGCATAATTGCCTTAATTTTGCTAAGTGTCCTTGTGCATGTTATGGCAGGCACTTTTTTCAGTTTTCATTTTCATTTACGAATAATTGATGTAATCAATTTGATCGCTTTCTGTATTTGCCTGAACAGTGGACATGTCATTATAACCTATTTAGGTCAGGGTTCTACATTTCGTTATGGTTTTGCTTATCATTATTATTTTGTATTTGCAGGCACATACAAATATGTTCCAGATACAGGACATTAGTATTGCGGCAGGGATTCGAATCCCGTACCTTGTGGTTCATGGTCCTGAGACTTACCCGATTAACATCTAAATGTAATAACACAATCGAAATAATAACATCTCGTGTCCAAGGTGCGTATAAGCATTGTGATTCATTTAGACATTTAGTTATTGTCACGTGTATTCGTTCACTTAATAATAAAGAGACACATATTTGACTCCAATTAAAGTCCATGAAAATTATTTTGCCGGTAGTATATGCATTGGTTTATTAAGCATTAAAGTAAATAACGATACAAACAAGCAAACACACAAACAAACAAGTAAAACAAAACAACGCATATCAGGATAACGGTGAGATGGTAGCTATAAAGTTCTGGGAATTCATAAACCATAAAAATTGATGGAAATACCTATTGTACTGCGACAGGGATTCGAACCATATTCATTGCGGCTCAAAGTCTACTTAACCACATGCATGCAGGTAATAAATACAATCGAAATAACACCTCTTGTTCAACGGGCGTATTATAATCATTGTGATTTTTTTTTTTTTTTACATTTAGATACAGTCGTGTCTTCGTCCTCTCAATAACAAAGTGACACTAACTTATTTCTAATACTCACATTAAAGTCCACGAAAAATATTTTGCCGAAGTATATCTATTACTAACGATGCAAACAAGCAAGCAAACAAGCACACATCACATAGTCAGGATAATGGTGAGTTGATAGCTAAAGCGGTATGGGAACTATAAACCATTATGGCTGATGAAAATGCATATTAGTACTTGGAAAGCAGATATTTGAACCCCGTACCCTGTGGCTCACAGTCCACTTAACCCCATGCAAGTAATAACACAATCGAAATGACACCTCGTGCTCAACGGGTGTATATTATAAGCATTGTGATCTCTTTTGACATTTAGATATTTTCACGTGACTTCATCCTCTTAATAACACAGCGACACTTTTTTTCCTCACATTTAAGTCCGCATATATTATTTTATATAGCCTAAATTGGTTTATTAAGCCTTGCGAAAGATGCAAACTAGTATAATTTTTTTAACACGACTAGATAAGCAAACACAGCATAACAAGGATAACGGTGAGTTGTAGCTACAAAGTTCTGGAAACTCATAACCATTATGATTTGTTATGATTGATAAAAATACTTATCCAAGTTTTTGATGATTTACTCCACGGATGTTTTCAAACACTCTCACAGCATTCTGAATATAATTAACACTGAAAACACTTTTACTAGTTAAGCAACAACATCAACACAAATTAAGAACAATATTAATATCAAACCATAATATAATGAATTGTATATCACACACAAACTGTTAAACGTGAAGAAGAGTTGTACTTAAGAGGTCGGATAATTTAGTATGATTATCAACTTCACCTTGTGATTTTCGAGTAGTGAATCTATACAATTTTCATTAAAATTTACAGTCTGATCCATTATTCTGATTCTTGAATAAATCCATGCGTTTGTTTTAACATAATGTATACACATCTAGACTAACCAAATATGGGGAAGAATTGGAAACCCTTAAGCACATTTGCATAATTTACATAAACATGAAAATGTTACACTTTCAGAAAGTTTTGTATTCTCTTCAGTAACTTCTTCTCTTTATTTGGTAACAAAATTGTGGTCATGATGTAACTGATTAATAAGATAAAAATGGTTTGACGTTATCACCAAGGGTCTCTTATTACTTACATGTGTAGGTAATAAAGGACAGTTACAAATCAATACATTTTAAATACAATTTGAATGAAAATGGGATTGTTGTAGTTAGTTCAAACACTTTTTGAAAGAGAGATACATGCAGCCAATGAAGTTACTGTAATTTTAAAACAATGTGGCCCAAAATATTTCTGTAATTTTTTGTTTACAGTAATAAAGATGCTCTAAATTATACTTAAATACTTTCAGAATAATGTTCTGAAAATGTGACATTTACATTGATGAAACTCACAGCATAGAAAGAACTTCTTAAAATGAAATTCATTCAAATTAGAATGGTGACACGAACAACCAAATATGTTTCATGATAGTGCCTTTCAACATGAAATGAACTGGGGGAAAGTAGGCCCCCATCTTGAACATGGTGTCTCCCATTGCCTACACACATTTCTGATCAGCCAACATTCATGATCTGCATTGCAACACTCATTCACGACACACAATGTCCATAAGTTTTCTGTGATGGTAAATTTCCTTTTAAAAATACTTTTAAGAGCCACCTCTAAATATCTGCATACACCACAACATTCAATGAAAATTGTGTTTTTATATCAGAGCAAAATTTTACGGTCAAAATCGCTTATCTTGGTAAATTTTGCCAATTTTCTCGGAGAAAGAACGCATTGCAGTCTTCGAAATTAATTGGATATATGCAGTAGCGTTGTTAAAGGCCACATATGGCGCTATAGCAATATTGGATCCAACACGGACAGACAGTGATGGGTTCAAGCTTGGTGGACTCCAATTTCCTACACCTACCCTACTTTAGATTTACACCAACAACAAAAAATACTGAAAAATTCCGAGAACAAAAAATCAATTGAAACTTTTAGTCAAATGTAGACGAGAAAAATACAAGTAAAATCATTGTTCAACGTTTTCGTTAAAGTACCATGGAATCATTAAAATGCGAATATAACAGAGGACACACAAATTCAAATCCTCTATCATAATCTAAAGTTGATCACGTGAAAGTTTAATAATAAATATTGACCGAAATGGGAAAATTAAGAGGCAGCGATATCAACAAGTAGAACTTGCTCATTGCAATAGGATGAGTGAATCGGGAAATTTTGTATAGATAAATAACGTTTACATGTCTCAAATACAGCTTCAAAAAAGTATCATTAGAAATGAAAGTGTGCTTATATCGCTCATGCAGGTAAATTTCTATGATATAATTTTGTTTATTCTGTGCGACTGTAAAACGATATTGTAAAAACAAAACAAATTTAAACAAAAAAGACATTATAGAACTTCGACTTCGTCACACAGTGCTAGCTCTCTATTCCTTTGTCATATAAGCTCATAGTAACTACATCCATCATTTTGGGAGAAGTAGCTAGAAAGAGCGCTCGCCCTTGTTTCTTCATTCAGCTCGCATACTCCGTCTTTGTAATTGATGGACTTGCAACCAACTTCCTGAATGCATTCTGCGGCGCAACGGAGCATGGTTTTCGCTGGCACTGTCTTTATTACGTGATCAGTTAGACAGTGGCCAATAAGAGGGCGTCCCTTGTTGTCCTTAGCAACGGAGAAATAGCCTGCAGATTTGGTGGTGGCCGTCGGTTTAACTAGATTGTGAAGTAAAGATAGAGAAATAAACGACCATAACAGATATAATTACATGTAAAACTACAGTTTATAACTAAATTATTCATACCGCTTGTAAACTTGTTTGTTTTTTTTTAAATGTTTTTCGTAACTCAAGAATGGAAGTTGGACTGGTTGAATAAGGGTCTTTTTTTATTTACTTTTAGATGTAAAATGTTATTCTTAAATCAGGACAAATGAATTTTCACACACTTAAAAAATTACAAAACTTGGTAAGGTTACGAATAATTTAGTTGTTAACTGTAAACATACATACACATACAAATATTTATGAATAAATGTATGTATATGTGTATATATATATATATATATGTCCCTACATGTGTCCGTACATGTGTATGTATACAAATACATATGAATAATTATGTACTAAATATGTATTTACATATATAGGCCTATATGATATCGACATATTTTACAGACAATGTTATATTAATCCTAGGCATAAATTGAATCTCACTCGGGATCCCTCCAGAAATAAACATAACGAAATAATAACAAATTAATTTAGAATAAATAAGAAAATCACAATCTAAACTAATTTGTTGGGAGGGGGTGGGTAAAGTAACAATTATCTTGATTGGCCTCCAATCCCACCCATTCGTTACTGTTCCTAAAAGGGATCCGGTAACTTTGTCTCAGATTCTGAATAAAAATCCTGGATTTAGCTCATGCTACAATGATAATTATATTAGGTCAGTAAGGAACCCCATGACTTTTACAAGCCGATAGCCTGTCTGATTATCAAGATATTTATGATTGGAAATCGAAACCAAAATTTGCGTTTGCCTAACCGTTTTTATAACACTACAGTCTATTGGGGAAAACGAGTATCCGGTCACTCAAACATTTTTACTTTTTTGAGGCACTTCTTGATCATATTGAAGCGGATTTTTTTTTTAGGGCTTCAATATTACACCATACCACAGACACTGATAGCACGTAGGGCCGTGCATCTCAGAGTTAACATTGTAAAACGATTCCTTCAACAAATCTAAGCTATAATGGAAACCCGTATTTTATAGCATTGGCGTAGAATCTGGGGAATGGGGGATGCAATACCCCACAAATATGTATGTATTACAACGTATCAGGACAATTACCTCCTGGGCAATCACCCCCGGAAAATAACCCCCGGAAAATTACTCCCAGGAGAATTACCCCCCCCCCCCCCGAGGACAATTACCCCCCCCCTGGAAAATTGACCCCTCACCGAGCAAAACTACCCCCGAAGGCAATTATCCCCCCCCCCCCTTCCCGAGGACAATCACCCCGAGGAATTTGTAACACTGTGACGAATAATGCGAGCTTCTTTCCAAATTGCTATTTACAGGAAATTTCATAAACTTTCATTTTCACTTGTTTGCTCGCATCTTAAATGATTATTATTTAAAAAAGTAAACTTCATGCATTTTGTATATTTTTATGTTTAATGATGCTGTCTATTATGCGTATGAATTTATCTAGTATATTTATCCTTTTATATGTCATTAATTTAATTTTATGTTTACATGTACAGTGCTGTATTTTAACCATCATACCTTGTGAATGACCTGCAATTCAGCTTCGGCTGCCAGAACTTCATGTGAATAAAAACCCTTGTTGAATTGAATTGAATTTTTGAAGTTATTTTTGAAGTTCATTTCAGTCGTTTAAATTATTCAATTCGATGTGGGGGTGGAAGTTGCCTAATTCCCACGTAGTTTTGCCACTAAGCCAAAGAACAGACATTACATGTACATTCGGCGGCAAGGTGCCCGCATCCAGTACTTTAAATCGCTTCTAGTGTGTTGATTACAAACTAATTTTTTACCGGTTTGAAAACATCTTCTCAACATTAGTTGTCGAATCGACATAGAGCCTGTGAGCTACCGTGTGAGCTGCCGAAATTGAAGGTTGGTTTGTCTTCAGTTAAGTCATCCCCCCCCCCCCCCCACTGAGCGAATTTTCGGCCGGCGCGTTTTTCATTTTCGGGAGCAAAAAAAAAAAAAAAATGGCCCCCCCCCCAGTAGGAAATTCCAGGATCCGCCATTGATATCATATCCCTTAAGCTTGGGGGGCTGCGCCCGTTGACCCTTCCCGGGGCCTTGCCCCTAGACCCCACTTTGCAGCGGGACCTGCATGTAAGAGTGGGGTGATGCTGATTTTTTGTCAGCCCCCCAAAACGTTTTTGCTCATTACGCCACTGAAAGTAGGTAGACATTTGACCGTTTTTATGGATATCTCAAGAAGAAAAGGAGGGAAGTTACATAAACAATCTTGAAATATATTAAGAGGTCACAGTCGAGTTTATTTCACGACATTGATCATGTTATTATTAAAGGGATAGTTGAGTTCTGTTTTCAGACCGCAAATGCCTTCAAAGTGCATGGTTATTGCTCTTATTCTTATCTATGACATTTATAGTGCCCTTTTAGAACCTAAAATTGCTATGAAGGTAATTTTAGACCCCAATATGTGTGAAATTTAGCCAATACGATCATAGCAATTCAGCTCCACTTTAAAAAAAAATACGGTGACCGTTAATTAATTATTCAATTAAAAATAATAATACATGAGCCGGCTGATTGTGGATAATAAAAGCAACACGAAAATGCCAACCAAAAAGCCAACATCGGCATTGGCTGAAAAACGACGTAAAAGGCGTTATTTCGTTTTTTTTTCAACGGTTTTCAACGGTTTTTTTCAAATTTTCAAAATATCTAAAATTTGTGGTGGTACACAAGTACTAGAAATTGTTATATTTCAGCCGTATGTGAACTGATTTTGATCAAACAAAGATGATTTTGTCATTTAAATATTATGTTCTTTCAAATTTGACACTCAGTTTTTCATTATCTCACAAAAAAAGTATTTTGTGTAATGCCCTCTGCAACAGAACTCAACTAACCCTTTAAGTAAACATTAATATTCCTAAAAGCAACTTCGTATATGACAAAATATAAAGAATCCTAATATTACTTAATGTATGATACCATACATTTTGTCATACCTATATTACACAAAGCTCCATTAATTCCCGCAGCACATGTACATGCATCGGTATCACAGGTACCTCCGTTCAGACATGGGTTGGCACCAGAACAGTCAACTACAGAGAGGGAAAAAAAAGAAGAAAAAAATCTCAAAATGTATACTCTTATCTAGATCTATTATTATTAGGAATAATTTATTGTCAAAATCATTCCATAAATTGGAGTTTAAAAACTTATTCCACCTTTATGAAGAACAGTGCACAAGTGTAAAGTCACAATATGAGTTTACTTCACGACATTTATCTTGTTAATACTAAGTGAGCATTAATATTCTTTAAAGGAAATTCTGATTTGACAAAATATGAACAATCCCGATAGCATCAAATGTATGATACCATCCTTTTGTCATACCTGTATTACACAAAGCTCCATTGAATCCCGCAGCACATGTACATGCATCGGTATCACAGGTACCTCCGTTCAGACATGGGTTGGCACCAGAACAGTCAACTACAGAGAGGGAAAAAAAAGAAGAGAAAAATCTCAAAATGTATACTCTTATCTAGATCTATTATTATTAGGAATAATTTATTGTCAAAATCATTCCATAAATTGGAGTTTAAAAACTTATTCCACCTTTATGAACAACAGTGTACAAGTGTAAAGTCACAATATGAGTTTACTTCACGACATTTATCTTGTTAATACTAAGTGAGCATTAATATTCTTTAAAGGAAATTCTGATTTGACAAAATATGAACAATCCCGATAGCATCAAATGTATGATACCATCCTTTTGTCATACCTGTATTACACAAAGCTCCATTGAATCCCGCAGCACATGTACATGCATCGGTATCACAGGTACCTCCGTTCAGACATGGGTTGGCACCAGAACAGTCAACTACAGAGAGGAAAGAAAATATCCTGAAATCGAGTACGATCTTTACGAATTTAAGAATGGTGTATACCTAAGATCGTCAAATTAGAAAGTAAGAAGACACTCTCACCGTTGTTTTTATGTTGATATTTCAGGAGGGAAGGGGGAGGGGGTCAATATACATTACCAATCTTGAAATGTATTTAGAGGTTACAGTCACAATATGAATTTATTTTCTGATATCAATCTTGTTATTGTTAAGTAAACGTTAATATTCTTTTAATAAAGATAAATGTTATTTGACCAAATAATAAGAATCTCGATAGCTCTAAACGTAGGATACCATCTATTTTCATACCTGTACTACACAAATCTCCATTGAATCCCGCAGCACATGTACATGCATCGGTATCACAGGTACCTCCGTTCAGACATGGGTTGGCACCAGAACAGTCAACTACAGAGAGAAAAGAAAAAGAAGACGAAAATCTCAAAATGTATACTCTTATCTAGATCTATTAGGAATAATTCATTGTCAAAATCATTCCATAAATTGGAGTTTAAAAACTTATTCCACCTTTATGAACAATAGTGCACAAGTGTGAAGTCACAATATGAGTTAACTTCACGACATTAATCTTGTTAATACTAAGTCAGCATTAATATTCCTTAAAGCAAATTCTAATTTGACAAAATATAAACAATCCCGATAGCATTAAATGTATGATACCATCCTTTTTGTCATACCTATATTACACAAAGCTCCATTGAATCCCGCAGCACATGTACATGCATCGGTATCACAGGTACCTCCGTTCAGACATGGGTTGGCACCAGAACAGTCAACTACAGAGAGAAAAGAAAAAGAAGACGAAAATCTCAAAATGTATACTCTTATCTAGATCTATTAGGAATAATTCATTGTCAAAATCATTCCATAAATTGGAGTTTAAAAACTTATTCCACCTTTATGAACAATAGTGCACAAGTGTGAAGTCACAATATGAGTTAACTTCACGACATTAATCTTGTTAATACTAAGTCAGCATTAATATTCCTTAAAGCAAATTCTAATTTGACAAAATATAAACAATCCCGATAGCATTAAATGTATGATACCATCCTTTTTGTCATACCTATATTACACAAAGCTCCATTGAATCCCGCAGCACATGTACATGCATCGGTATCACAGGTACCTCCGTTCAGACATGGGTTGGCACCAGAACAGTCAACTACAGAGAGGAAAGAAAATATCCTAAAAGTGAGTACGATCTTTATATTCATCGTTCTCGACCGAGCCGTTCCAAAAGCTTAGAATTTAAGAGTGGTGTACTTAACATTGTCAAATTAGAAAGTGGGTAGACTTTGTCACACTCTTTATGGAAATCTCAGGAGGAGGGCTAAGTTATATAAACAGTCTTGAAATGTATTAAAGGATTACAGTCACGATATGGGTTTGTTTCATGACATTAATATTGTTAGGTGGTCTTTCATCGAAAAAGCACCTATTGATTTCGTCAGAATTTTCTTTATTTCTTTATGTCGTATTCGACAGATCACCTATTGATTTCGTCATAATTTCTTTCTGTATTATTTTATCTTTTTATTTATTTCTTCATTTATTTTTTGTAGACAATAACTCTCAAATTAATACGGTCAATTTCTTTCATTTTTTAGGCACAGTCATAGGTAATTGTCCTAAGATGTGTTATCAACATTTGCAAGTTTTATCAAGTTATCGTGACGTCATCTAGGCGCCATTTTGTGAAAATCAACTCATGATCATATCTCCATAATGGAGAGTCACTCACTGAATATAGGAAACGTAGCTTTGCCTATTATGGTCCGTTGTTGTATAACAAACTCCCACTTTCTGTTCAGTCATGCATATCATTACATATTTTGTTCAAAAAGCAATGCCGTCTTTCTATGCATTTACTGTAACTATTCTACCTTCTTTGTAAACTCTCAAAAGTGCAATAGGACTTCTGCACTCTTCTCCTTCTGTAATTATGTTAGTATTTCTATGTAATTTATTGTGGGTTTTTTATTTTAGGTGGTCTGATCACCTATTGTTTTCGTCAGAATTTTCTTTCTTTCTTTATTTATTCTTTATTAGGTGGTCTGTCAACGACAGATCAATAATAACGGAATAAGCGTCCGTTTAAGATACATGTCCGTGTGTGCGAGCTCTTGTAATACATAGCATATATGGGCAAACCATGCCTATACAAAATCCATTGTAGCTCTTTAGGATGCAAGGTATAGGTATATGATAGAGTATGAATCGGAGATATGATTTCATGTCTCAATTAACTCATGACGTCATCATAATGGCCTTTTCAGGTGCGAGAAGTGCCCCATTTTCACCACTGATTACTGCCCCTTTTACTTAGACACATGTTCCTTTTCTTTTCTTATAAAATATGTCCTTTTTCCATCTGAGTTTTCAATTTTCATTTCTCCATAACATGTGCCCCTTTTTTTTTAAGCGACTGAGAGCAACTTTTTTTTCTTTACCCCCCCCCCAAGCTTGTGTCTACGCTCGATCACATCTATAGTTGATATAATTGTGTTATATAGTCTTCAGTCTTTCACGATTAGATCGTGATTAAAATCCCATCAGGATTGGGGTTTTCCTTCTTTATAAGCTGTAATTTTTTGCACTGCGACCTCACAAATCTTGAAAAATTTTCTTCCATGCAAGTTAATATTCAGACTATCACATTGAACTGCAACGTAAAATGATGCTTAAAAAGTAGTTGGACCATACATGTTAAAAGAGTTCGAGTGAGCAGCATACACGTAGCTAGAAGTATTATGCCGAGGCGCTGTGCGCAGCGACTAAGTTTTCAGGAACTTAGGCACCGTGTTACACTTTAAGACCATGTTACACTTTAAGACCTCAACAGACGTTACCTCATGAGGAAAATATGCAGCGTAAAATGATGCTTAAAAAGTAGTTGGACCATACATGTTAAAAGATTTCGAGTGAGCAGCATACACGTAGCTAGAAGTATTATGCCGAGGCGCTGTGCGCAGCGACTAAGTTTTCAGGAACTTAGGCACCGTGTTACACTTTAAGACCATGTTACACTTTAAGACCTCAACAGACGTTACCTCATGAGGAAAATATGCAGCGTAAAATGATGCTTAAAAAGTAGTTGGACCATACATGTTAAAAGAGTTCGAGTGAGCAGCATACACGTAGCTAGAAGTATTATGCCGAGGCGCTGTGCGCAGCGACTAAGTTTTCAGGAACTTAGGCACCGTGTTACACTTTAAGACCATGTTACACTTTAAGACCTCAACAGACGTTACCTCATGAGGAAAATATGCAGCGTAAAATGATGCTTAAAAAGTAGTTGGACCATACATGTTAAAAGAGTTCGAGTGAGCAGCATACACGTAGCTAGAAGTATTATGCCGAGGCGCTGTGCGCAGCGACTAAGTTTTCAGGAACTTAGGCACCGTGTTACACTTTAAGACCATGTTACACTTTAAGACCTCAACAGACGTTACCTCATGAGGAAAATATGCAGCGTAAAATGATGCTTAAAAAGTAGTTGGACCATACGTGTTAAAAGAGTTCGAGTGAGCAGCATACACGTAGCTAGAAGTATTATGCCGAGACGCTGTGCGCAGCGACTAATTTTTCAAGAACTTAGGCACCGTGTTACACTTTAAGACCTCAACAGACGTTACCTCATGAGGAAAATATGCAACGAGCTCACGAGAGGAAAAGCAGGAAATACGAAGAGCTGCTCATAGAGGCTGAGCAGAACAGTTGGAGAATTGAACTTTTGGCCCATAGAAATAGGTTGTCGTGGTTTCTCCAACAACACACTCCTCCGTGCTCTCGGTCAAATTGGTGTGGGCGCAAGGCTGCGAAACAAGATAGTGTCACTTTCTTGCTCATGTGCAGTACCGGTGCAGTAAAGGCGTCATTTCATCTATGGCTCAGGAATGATGAGCGAGAGTGGACACGCCCTATATCTACTTAATCAGACATGACAACGCGTCGTTGCTACATACGCACAGCATCACTAGCTGCGCAGTTTTGAAGCAACGACATAGACGCATTATTCAAGAAACAGGTTAATTTGAAATCCGTCTGGCCAGATGCAGACCACTTTATGTGTGCTTGCATCAGAAACGGATTTAATTTGTTAACATCTGTCACATCTGGCCACTGAAGAAGAGTGTGACACTAACCTGTTTTTGTTCTTCTTTTTTTCTTCTTTATTTGGACAAGTCATTGCCCTCCGCCTGCCGGATGGAGGGTTTCTATGCCGTTTTGGGTTTTTTTTTTCACATGGTATATTGGTTAAAGCACTCAACTCCCACTCTGGTGACCCATGTTCGATTCCTGAGGGTCAATTAAAAAAAAAAAGTTTTTTATTTGATTTTATCATCTTCTTCGACTACTATAACATATATATATAGATATATATATATATATATGTGTGTGTACGTATGGAACGTTCCTTCGCAAATCTGTGCACGCGCTGCCCGAGTGGTGGGTAGCCGGTAGCATGTTATCTCCCGGCAGTGCTTGTCGCAGTAGCTTCTGGAAAGGAATGTTTTTACTAGTGTTACTGTTAGTGGCCATGGCCCATTAGTGAATATAAAAAACATATGCTCTTCCTGGCTGTTTGGGAATGTGTCAGTTTGAAACAGAAATGGAGAAACGCGCATTTTGTTGAAAATCATGCGATATCACGAACATTTATAAATCACTTGTATGGAATTGAAAATAAGTCATGGTTTAATTTTATTTTGGAGGGCAAACGCCCCCATGCCCCCCCCCCTCCCCCACTTGTCTTATGATTTCACTGTCACATGGCACGTCAAAGATCATAGTCAAAACAAAATGACGCTTCGCTATTAAAAGTTGACAACTTTTGTTATTTCTTCTTGTCTCATCATGTCTTAGGAAGTGCACTAATAATTCTAAATTAAAAGAAAAGCATTGTTAATTCTTACCACTTTCACTGCAGATGTTGGTTTCTCCAGAATTGGATCCAGTCTGTAGATTATCGTGGTTCGTATATGAGAAAAAAATCAATTATAAGTATTTGGGAGCAGTTATTCCAGACATAATAATTTACCACAGATGATAATACTACAATAAAATATTAAGAACTCTTTTCGTATGTTTATTATAATGAGTTAGTTCAAATCTCGGTCACGCATGAGTGATAACGGAAAACGAAGATTTCAGTGACCTTGATTGCATGCTATACAGTGTGAGTCCAAAGTAGCTTATGTGATGTTTGAATAAAACAATTGGGATTTGGGTATTAATTCGGTCTTTGCGGATCCAAATAACATCCCTAAAAAATTAATCATGCAACTCATGGCCTTTAATATCGAATATCAAAGAACATTTGTGCGCTTGTGTGTTTGTCTGTGTGACTTTGCTTCTGCAAAACTCATATGAAATGCGTTTCATTTGATACATTCAATTCATTCTCTCACTCCGCTAATTCCAACATAATACATACTGTAGACCTCACTTCAGTGGCGGATCCAGCCGGCGGGAAGAGGGGGGGGGGCCAATCCGTGAGAAATTATTAGTTGCGACTCAGCCACCGGTGAATAAGCGGGGGGGGGGGGAGGGGGGGGGGGGGTAGGAGGCACTTTTTTTTGGTCCAATGTTTCAGAAAATATTTGCGCCGACTCAGTCAGCCGGTGAATAAGCGGGGGGGGGGGGGGTGAGACCACTAGTTTTGTTTTTTTCACCTAATTCGTGAGATTTTTTTTTTTAATTCTTTTGTTGTTGACCCGTCAGCCCCGCCCCCCCCCCCCCGTGGATCCGCGCCTGCAGAGGATTCAGACGGCGTCAAGGGGGGGGGATAGCCAAATCTTAATACAAAATTTAGTGCCGACTCAGCCGGCCGGCGAATAAGCGGGGGGGGGCGCGCTTTTGCTTTTTGTTTTATAAAGGTTAAATTTACGTTATTATCCTATTTTTTTTATCGTTTTGGGGGGCTAGGGGGGGGGGGTCGGGCCGGAATAATCGCTACGTGGATCCGCCCCCGCCTCACTTTGGCGCAAGTCGATTTTTGCACTCTCGCAAACAATGCCTCCTGTTCATTCAAGCGTAAACACATACCGCACAAAAATGATACCAAATGATTTGGGATGAAACACTCTTGCATAAGATATATACTAATTTACTGTTCATAGATGATTTTTAAAATAATTAGCAACTTTCAAGGTGTAAACTTTTTTTGACTCACACGGTAGACGACGCCTACGAA